AGAAAAAGCAGAAAGAGGTTTTTATTTTAATGGGACTAAGTATACAGTATTTGATAATGAGAACTCAGATTTTGCCTCCTTTTTGCATAAAGAAATGTAACAGAACTCACAAAAGTGAGCACCAAACAACCATTTTCTCATTTCATCGTTTACCATCATGGTGAAGAGCTGGTGACGCCTGGTTTGTCTATCTGGGAAAAAGATTGCAGCTCCACTGAGTAATGTGTTCTTAACTTCCTGTTTCAGCATTTTCATTGGCATGAAGTTACTGTCCCCCGTGTCCACTACTGCTCGTAGAAAAAGGAAACAAATGACAAGCTGAAATTAATGCTCCAACTAATTTAGTTAGTGGTACAGTTAAATTTAATGTGTTATTTTACATGTCCTTGCAACCCTGTTATGTATGTAGAAAATGAGAGGAACTATTTTCACTTCTGGCAGAAAAGATCTTTCTAGGGATGTATTTGTTCAAATGAGTAAATTAATTCCAGGAACATTAAGACTTGTCAAGTATTCAAAGGTGTTAAAGCTTTCAAAATGTAACAGATCCTGTAAAAACCTGCTTATCTCTGGGTTGCTCTTCAGAAGACTTAGCTAATAACAAACAAACAAAAAAATGTATTTGATCAAAGAGGGTGAAATCCTACTTCCAATGAAATCTAATGCGCAAGTCTTATTCTCTTCACTGGCTCCAAATTTTTGCCTGCACTTCTGTAAAACTTTGCAGGCTTCTCATAAGATCATTTATACTTATATAAAATATCATATGATCAGTGAATCTCAGTAAAATTAGTTAAAACATCACATTCCCTGCTGCATCAGGAAGGTAACAGATTCAAAAGAAATTTTCTATTGCAGCCACTTCTAGGCCACATTTTATCAGAAAAGTCTGGAAAATCATCTCAAAGGGCCAAAGAAAGTTTCACTGCAATAGACTACTGAATACATATTGACCTGAAGAAGCAAAAATAAGAGTAGCTGTTTTGGTCACGAGGAATTTTCCCAAATTCTAGCTATTGTAAAACACTTGTAAGCCAGAACAGAGAGTAGTTAATACATTCAATATAAATTACCTTCACACAAGTGTCTGTAAAGCTCTTCTGCGGCTTCTGTATGACCAGGTGTTTTGCTTTGAGAAGTTTCTTGAGGCTTACCAGTTTTACTGTCTCCAGTAAGCACAGAGAAGCAGCTCTGGAGAAGCTGCAATAGCACTGTTTGAGCAAAGATGCATTCTTCCCTCGGGCTATAGGAAAACATAAACCAGAAGTAAAAACTAGAGAAGGAGAAGATAGAGTTGCTATCTCAGATGAATAAAAGACATTCAAAGTAGAGAACATGCTGCCAAAAATGTATAACTACCAGCTAAATAAATCTGCAACTCAAGCTTCTACATAACATTATAGTTAAAAACCCATATGGCAGAAATGTTATTTATGTAAATGATGCAGTTTAGGATACATGTACACAGATTTGTGCTTTACCGTATAGCAAAGATGTGACTTACTTTTGGTGAAGCTTATTGTAAAAATTCCAGAACAGCTGCAAATCAAGGCCTGTGAAATCTAAAAATGACTTGTATTTTAATCCACTGTCTTTCTGTTGAACCTTAAAGAGACAAAGAAAATACAGGGCTGAAAAGATTAGCTTCAAACACAGCATATTTACAAAGAGTAGATCCCTGAGCACTGGACTTAAGGCAGACTATTTTCCTATAAATCTTCAGTTAGCCTAAGTTCTTTCACCTGCTTATATTTCTGATGTCTAGATGTTCCATTTATGCTGAAACCTTCCTCCTTACAAAGCACTCTCCTCCTTACAAATGCCTTGTTCTGTCCCTCTCTCTCCAGAAAGAGACTTTGCAACCTTTGCCTCTTTGCATAATGTGGTTGGAGTAAATAGGTCCTAAACTTGTAGTGCAGATACAACAGACAAAACAAGATGCACAGGGTTCAGAATCCAAAGCTGAAAGGCACTGAAGCATGAGCTATACAAACAATATATTTCAAAGAACACAGAACATGTTTTAATCTATGCAGCTTTCCTAGATATCTTTCTATGCATCTTTATCATGTTTGCTTCAGAAATAGCTTCGCTACTTAATGGAGCATCCTTCTGTTGCACTGAGTTTACCCAATATTGGAATCTAATGCTGAGAGATGGTCCTTAACTCTCTTCAGGACATAAGTGAACGTATTCCTAGTCAACTTTAGCAAGAACTCATAGAACCCAATCTTCCAGAAACATTTTTCCCCTTGCAGAATGATACTATTAATTATTACCATTACTTATTAGTAACTCTTTGATTCATCTATTCACAAGGCTATTGATTTACTATTAGTATAATATTATTGTTTTGTAGCACAGCAAATATATACTTAACAAAAGCTAAAAAGTAAAGATACCAGGTCCTGGGCAAGCTGCTGGATGAAGTGAAGTGTCTTCAGGAGAAGAGTTGTGCCACAAACTGTGTCATCATCCACCTTCTTGCACTGCAAGCAGTTCATGCTCCTACTGGGCTCCTCTCGCATAGGCCGAAGATACCCAAGAACATTCAGGCCTTGAACACCCAATCGCTCTGCAGTCTCTTGCCTCGTGCACAAGAACTTTATCATTAAGTACTGGAAGGATAAAAAACACAGGACAAGATTTGGTTTTATTTGTTTATAAACTAGGCAGTCATAAGAGGCAGGTGCACAGACGAGCAGAGCAGTTGGGGCTGAGCAGGGCTTATTGCCTGTCAGTTACCCCCAGGCCTTTAAGACACTAGGTTTGAGATTCAGACTAAGCTTGGTGTCCTCACTTACATACCCTCCATCTCCCAAAATGTCATTCTGATGGTTCTGCAAACTCTATACACATCTGCAGTGTTATTTAATTCATTATCAGTTTCATTTGTTCTCTACCCTCTATTTCTTGTCTCTATAGCTACAGGATTTTTGCAGGTGAAAACATACCAGCTGCATTTAAAAGCAAGCAGAAGATCAGCAAGAAATATTTACAGCACACTTTTATGCAATCTGTACACAGTAAAACATAAAACTTGTGGCTGATGGGAACAGCAAGTTCCAAGTATACTTAATAATTTTGTACACTCAGAAGTGTAAGGTAATACATGTTACATGGTCAACAGAAGAATATCTCGTCAAGTGGAGAAAGCTTTGGAAAAAAATGCCAGTTGGTTTATAAGTGTCCTGCTGATTTCCACAGTACAAAAAAG